TGTGTGTGTGCCGGGTGTTGTGTGTGTGTTTGTGTCGGATGTTGTGTGTGCCGGGTGTTGTGTGTGTGTGTGTGTGCCGGGTGTTGTGTGTGTGTGGGTGTGCCGGGTGTGCCGGGTGTTGTGTTGTGTGTGCCGGGTGTTGTGTGTGTGTGTGTGGGTGGTGTGTGTGTGTGTGTGTGTTTGTGTGGGTGTGTGTGTGTGTGCCGGATGTGTGTGTGTGTGTGTGTGTGTGTGTGTGTATGTGTGTGCCGGATGTGTGTGTGTGTGTGTGTGTGCCGTGTGTGTGTGTGTGTGTGTGTGTGTGTGCCGTGTGTGTGTGTGATGTTGCCGCTCCTCGTCCTTGCTCGTTTCGAGGGTTTCGGCACAGTTGCGTCGGGAAGCGTTCGAGTAAACGCCGAATGGCCCGTGGAAGCGAGAGCTGATGGCAGATATTTCCCAGAGTTCAGGATGTGAGTGGGAGTGTGTGTGCGGTCGAGGGTTAAACGCTGCGCTGGAGGCGTGTGTGTGTGTATGAGCTGTTGATGATGTGTTTTGGATGAATGGCACCGAGGGAAAAGAGCTGTTTGGATCAGCCAGAGCTTCCCAGAGCTTCACACATCTGCGCTCGGATGATTCATGGACTGGGCTTCGTCCAGCGCCGCCTCAGTGTGTTTGCTTCGAGTGTGTTTAATTGCGTCTGAATCGAGCCAGAGAAACACGAGCATCTATTACTTTAATGCGCTGTAATGTGACTGTGATATGAAATCACACACTGGCACCGCTGAAACAGATCCGCAGGAGTGTGTGTGTTCAGTGCATCATCGAGTGTGTCTGGTTGAGGAGTGTGTGTAAAGAAGCCTGTATAATTACACTGACTTCAGGTCCCGTCCATTACACAAACTAATCATTATTACTGCTAGATTGTTAGCAAACACACTGAAGCAGAGAACAGCATGATGAAAACCTCGCTGAGAAATATATATGGACTATATACAAGAATAAAGGGAAGAAAGTGAGTCTCGATGGGATGAGGAAAGGAAAGTGTGTGTGTGTGTTGAAGGAAGACACTGGGAATGAAAACATGGACAGATGTGAGGCAACAAAGAGCCAATCACCTTCCAGGATCAGTGTTTGTGCTGAAGGTCATGGAAAATCAGTCATGTAATGAGAGGCGCTGGGGAGGTGTGTGTGTGTGTGTGCATTATAAAGTGTCCTCTTTGGCAAGGTCAGATGTGTGCATACAAGAGTGTGTCTGTGTGTGAGAAGAATATGTTAAGGAGCTTCATTAGATCTCATTTATGAATGAGATTCAGTGGTGTCTGTCTGTGACTTTATTTATTACTCATTTATTGATTATGGAATTATTTATTTATTTATTACTCAATTATTTATGCCTATGTTATTATTATTTTAAAGCGCCTCAGTAAAGCATTACCTGATTCTTCTCAGGCTGTTGGACATCTCCAGTTTTGTATTTCTGTGAGCCTGTAAGCAGAAAACACGAGCTCGATCTCTCCTGAACGCTGCGGTGAGGTTTCTGCTGTTCTCATGCTTTATATCTCACGACAGCGAGCAAAAGCGTCCCACAGACCCGTACAGCTCTTTCCTCATAGATCTGAGGCCCGACCCAGACAGCGATCAGATCTCGTCTGCACACCTGTGTGTGAAACGGTTCCCAAACTAATCAAAGCCGTGCACACACACACACACACACACACACTCAGAGAAGAGGCGCTGGCGGCGCACGGGCAGCTGTGTGTGATTGATGACGTGTGTTTTCTGAAGCTGAAGGGTTACTGTAGTGTTACGGGCCGAGGCTTTGACCTCTGTGTGTGTGTGTGTGTGTGTGTGTGTGTGACAGCTGACGCTTCAGAGACGAGACGAAGCACACACACTACCAGAACATTCACAATTTTGAGGTCAGCAAGATTTGTTTTGTCAGAAATGAACACTTTTATTCAGCAGGGAGGCATTAAATATATCAAAAGTGACAGAAAAGACATTCATAATGTTACAAAAGACTCGCTTTTTATGTTCATCACAGAGTCCAAAGAAAAATGTGTCCTTTTCCCACAAAAAATCTGAAGCATCACAAGTGTTTTTTTGTTTTTTTAAACATTGATAATAATCATAAATGTTTCTTGATCATCAAATCATCATATTAGAGTGATTTCTGAAGGATCATGTGACTCTGAAGACTGGAGTAATGATGCTGGAAATACAGCTTTGATCGCAGGAATAAATTACATTTCAATAGATATTCACATAGAAAACAGTTATTTTAAATTGTAAAAATATTTCACAATATTACTGTATTTTTGATCTAATTAATGCGGCCTTGATGAGCAGAAAATACTTTTTTTTTTACTTTTTACCTGACCTCATGTACATGGTGTATTTATAGAATATCGTTTATTTATCAATGATTTATGTACGTATATACATCTATTTATGTTTTACTGGCTTATTTATACATATTTTTATTTTTTTAAATCACATCAGTAATTCAACGGCCACTCGCTATTGCACGCGAGTAAGTGTTTTGAAAACATTATTCATATAAAACCGTAATTTACCGATAAAGCATTATGAAATAATTTACTTGTCAGATTCAATTCAGTCGCTGATTCGTCTTTCATCAAAAGTTTCTTGCTCCGAACAAACATATAGTTGTGATGTATAACTATTTGTCGATGTCTTGCTCTGGAGGCGGGCATATGCAAATGTGTTTGCCCATGTGACGTCACCGATCACCCAATATCAAAACGAGCTGTTTTTGGAGCTTGATTAAATAAATGCTTTGTTTATTATTACAGGAGGACGTTATTAGCTATGAAACTTGCAGGATGTTTTAATGGTAGGCCTATAAACACTTCTTATATGCCACCAGATCACGGCAGGTTTGATTTCTCATGAGGGCTTTAAATCTAAAAAAAAAAAAAAAAAAAAAAAAAAGCCAATATGTGTTATATTGTAGGTTATGGTGTAATTATAGTGTTTATCTTCATATAAGAGGTGCATTAGAAGTGTGAAACATTGTAATCTAGATGAATTTGAGAGAAGATCAGCAATATGTTTATTGGGTTTTAATAAACATACGGTAGCAGTAGACGTCTATCGAGACTTTATGAACCCGTACAGCTGTTATCTTCAGCTTTATTACTGTAATAACCTGATTTATGGAAGATAAACTCGTGTGGCGACACCACACACACACACACACACACACACACTAAAGCGGTTAGGTTAATTTATTATTAATCAAAGAAACGAGCTCGAGTGTGGTTCACGTGTGTGAGGTTTAAGTGTGTTGTGCTGAAACACACGTCCATCGGCTGCATGTTTCATATGTTGAGTGTCTTTATTTAGCGTATTTATTGTGTTTGTATTTAGTGTATTGAATGTGGAGCTTGCGGCTAGTGTCTCGATGATCGTTGTTTCGGGAACGGACGTGTCTTCAGTTCCCCGCTGATGTCGGTGTGTAATATTAGTTTAGTTTACTGTGCTCGTGTTCCTGCTCAAGCACACCACACTAAAGCCCTGTTCTCTTTCTGCCCGTTTCTGTCCAAGCGTTTAAACATCCTGAAGAGAAACGAGTTTCAGTTTCTAGCCGTCCGTGACTCTTGAACTCGTGACGTCGAATGAAGGCTGAGATTCAACCTTCATAAACACTGAGGTTTTCTCAGTTGCAGTGTTGTTGTTGTTTTTTTGCAATGTAGCCTACATTTCACAATGAATAATTGTGACTTTGCTGTTAAGCACTAATGTCACAATATTTCGCTTCCGTTGCACAGTGACCGGAGGCTGGTGAATGTAGACTCGAGTGTGTGTGTGTGTGTGTGTGCTGAAGTCAGTATTCAGGAGTGACTGAGTAAAAAAGTACAAATGCAAATTTTACAAATGCTGCAATAATCACTGTCCTAAACATGTTTTCTGTTTACATCTCGCAATTCTGACTTTTTATCTCAGAATTGTGTGATTATAAAGTTGCAATTGCTAGTTATAAAGTCAGAATTGTGAGATATAAACTCGAAATTCTGACCTTTTTCTCAGAATTGCATGTTTATATCTCGCAATTGTGACTTTATAACACGCAATTGTGAGATATATAAAGTCAGAATTGTGAGATATAAACTCGCAATTGCGTGTTATAAAGTCGGAATTGCAAGTTTATTTCTTGACCAATCACAACACACTGGTCCAGCCGACCAATCAGAGCACAGTTTGCTTTTCAGAAGGAGGGGCTTCATAGTGACAGGAACTAAACAGAGCGTTACTGACAGACTGAGAATAGAGGTGCTGCAACAGTGGAGAATATGGGGAAAATAATGTGTTTTGAACATTTCAAGCATGAAAAACTATTCTAATAGAGCTCAGAAACAACATGAAGATTTTGTAAATGAAGCATTTGGTCAAAATGGCATTCAAGAAGCTACAGATTCAAGTAGCTGTATTAGCATGATAAACATTAAACATATGTTTCATATTAATAAACCACCTCGATTTAAATTTTCTATCATCTTCACTCTGCTGATATTGTCTGTCTTTCCTCTGAGGATGGTGTTTAATCTGTTTTTGTTTATTTTTATTTCTATACCTCCGTTTTGCATCGAGAGACTAAGGGTGTGTGTAGATGGAAGAATTTAAACCAACGCCTTTAATGAATGATATAGAAGTAAATGGTGTATTGAATGCTGACGTGTGAAAATGCACGTCGCCCACCTGAGGTTGTGTGTGTGTGTGATGATTGTCGTCGGGTCAATATCTGTTTTAGGTGGTTATTGATCCGTATGACGGCAGCTCTTGTCAGAAGAGCCTCTATTTCAGGAGTCACTGTAAATAATTCCCGTCGCTAACCTTCCCTGACCCTCCGAAACCAGACGAGAATAACACACGTGTTCATATCTGTCACAATAAAGCTGTGCTTCACCACACAACTAGATCAGTCCCATTGTAATTGATCGATACTGATTCACTTTCTCCTATAGTCTCTCTTGTACGTTTACCGCTGTTTCATTTGCCATCCAATATTGTGATACATTATTGAATTGTGGAGTGACTTGTGTGTCCGCAGGCTCTTCAATCTGACCCTGAAGAAGCTGGTCATGCTGAAGGAGCTGGATAAAGATCTGACGTCGGTGGTCATCGCTGTCAAGCTCCAGGTGCGTCACTCATTCTGCTCAAAATCAAACTTAAACGGACTCAGTCTGTGTTCACACTTGGCATGTTTGGTTCGATTAAAACAAACTCTGGTGCGATTGCTCTGTTAGCAAGTGTAAGTGTGAACTTACACTTGCTAAACAAGCGGATTGAGACACTTAAAAGATGGGACTCAGTCCGCTTTCAAACAACTTTGGTGCGGCGGTTCAGCTGAAATATGAACACAACACGGACCAAAGACATCTAAATAGGCCAGAAACAGGATACGATGTCACTGGATGTGATCCTAAACCGGACAGAACACTCAAACACACGTGTTTTTTCTCGTAATAGTCGCGATGTTGCCCGTCACAGTTCGGCACAGGCACCAGAACTGCGTCTCCTCGCAGCAGATCTGGGTTTGTGTGTGTGACGGAGGGATTCCTGTCGATGTTTTGACTCCTTTACACATTTTAAAAGCTCTTCATGAGTTCTCAGCTGGCCAGAATACCATCAGCTACGCACATACAGCGAGTGGATTTAGCCCAGGACACAGCGTTGTTTTGGATGTTTGGAAGTTGTTGCAAAATATACATAATAAAAGCCGACTAATCAGGTTGTGAATAGGGCTGGGCAAAAAAATCGATTTTTCGATTAATCGTTTTTTAAAATGTGGTCGAATCGATTTTTTCCATATTCAGGGCTCGCGGTGCTGCGTCTTCTCACTCTGCACAAGGCAAGCGTCAAGCGCTGCAGGCGTCGATACACACTCGTGTTTAGGAGTCGGGACATGATTCACTTGCACAATCGGGCCAGCATTGCATCGTAACTAACGTTTATCATTTTCACGACTTTAAGTTTTACCAGTTTAAACATTCAAGCAATTTTAAACTATCCTGTGCTCGCGCACTCGCGCATGTTTTTCACTGCGTGCACATACAGCCTAAATCTGCCTCACAAACAGCTCGCCAGTAACAAAAGTTCTTTTTCGTGGATTATATCGCTTTAAATGTTAAAAACACGCAAAATGATGTCAAAACTCTGGTCTTGGTGAGTAACCTCGTAAAGACAGTCGGTTATGTCTTAAATAAGCATAAACCGCGTGTGACAGACAGACAGTATAATGAAACAGTAATGGATCCGTGCACTAGCTCTTAAAGTGAACGCAGCCATATGTGTCTGTCATTAATTTTGTTGGCAAAACAACATAATATAGCATTAATTGTAAGGAATCAGAATTAATAGCCTATGTATTTAATTCAGTCAGGACTAAAAGACTATCCAGTGTTATTTTACATTGGATTACTTTATTCAGTTTCTGTAGTATTTCTGACCTACCCAAAAACTTTTCTTTTTATGTCTCTTTATTTGTGTCTTTAGGCCTATTCTATTGTATTTATTTGTGCTACTTTTTTCAATTTAATTCAAAGATTGAAATCAAGCTTCCATGTGTTGCATAAACTCTTAACAAAAAAATTACCCCATTGTAAAAACAAACATTTAGGTGAGATCAATGTAATAAAAAATTGTCTAAAAAATGATAACTGATATTTAGACTGAGATTTGTATTAAATCTATAATCATTATAGTCGACTCGAGAATCGAAATCGAATCGAACTGTGAGCTTGTGAATCGAAATCGAATCGAATTTGAACATCTGAATCGATACTCAGCCCTAGTTGTGAACATATCCGTATGCCTCTAGGCTCGGTGTTAAAATGGGCTTTGAAGAGCTTGCACGATCCCAGCTGAGGAATCGGGTCTTATCTAGCGAAACGATCAGTCATTTTCTTAAAAAAATAAAAATGTATATACTTTTTAACCACAATTGTTGGTCTTGTGCTGGTCTGCGAAATAGATATCCATAATAAAGGCTAGATGTCTTACAGCGGAGTCTCTATCGTCTTCACCGGCGGCCATCTTGTCACAGGCAAGCTTTCTGGCGGGCTCTGTGGTGCCTGATGTAAGATGAGTGATCAGCACGAACACAAATACTCTTATCTCGTTGAAATCTTGATGGATTTACAAACGGTTTGGTTTCTTACAAACGTTATTAACGTGGCTATAATTCTGGATGATTATTTATTGATACACTTATTATTCATAAGTGTGCAGTGTCATAACTACATCTCTGACGTTTATAACAAACCAAACCGTTTGAAAATCGGTAGAAAATTTAGCAAGTTATGGTTATTTAAAAAGTACACGCACCATTAAAACACAATGTTACGAGTGAGCGAGCTGCCTGTGACAAGATGGCCGCCAGGGGCGGACGTCCACCTCCATTGGCCAGCAGCGCGGACGAGACATCTAGCCTTTATTATGGATATCTATGGTCTGCGACGCGCCAGGCATTACGTCTTCACGTTGGAAAGGTCACGCTGGACGTAGGCGGAAGTGCCGCCCCATTGTTTACAAGCGCGGAGAAGGAGAATCGTTCAAATGTTATTGTATGTTGAATGACATATTTATGTCTTTGTGTCAGTTTCTTGTTTAAAATGGTCCTTTCGTGAGCGTATCCTGGATGTTTAAAACAATGGGGCGGTACTTCCGTCTACGTCCAGCGTGACCTTTCCAATGTGATGACGTAATGCCTGGCGCGTCGCAGATCAGCACAAGACGAACAATTGTTTTCCACTGAATGAACATGAACATTTTGGAGTAAATTATCAGGAAATTTTCATTTTGAGGTGACCTAATCCTTTAAGCCGACCAGGACTAAATGTTTTTTTTTAGTCAAACGAACCAAGCAAACACACCCTTAAACTCACATTCCTGGCCTTATTGTGAACGATTCCTCGGTGCACTTTGAAACGACAGCAAAATAATATTAGCCAATCATATCCCAGCCCACTTTTTATGATCCAATTCTTGCCCACTGCTCGTTTCGTCTCTCTCAAAATCTCATCACATTATGGAAGTCAAACTTGTCAAAAATGCTGCATTATGTTGTTTTTAGTCTCTGTCACTTTTGATCGAGTACCTTTTACACTAGGCTACTGTTCAAACGTTGAGGGTCAGTAAAATATACATTTTTTTTTTTAAAGAAATGAATGCATTTATTCATCAAAGATGCATTAAATTGATCAAAAGTGACAGTTAAGACACTTATAATGTTTAATCAGAACAAATAAATGCTGTTCTTTTGAACTCTCTGTCCATCAAAATGTACACAAAAATATTAAACTGTTTTCATCATTGATAATAATCAGAAATGTTTCTTAAGCATCAAATCATTGAATGACTTCTGCAGGATCATGTGACACTGAAGACTGGAGTAATGATGCTGAAAATACAGCTTTGATCACAGGAATAAATTACACTTTACAATATTCACAGCTATTTTAAATGGTAATAATATTTCACAATTTCACTGCCTGTACTGTATATTTTCTCGTAAATACCAACAAAGGTTTTTATTTTTTAAAGGTGTGCGTTTTCTCCTCTCTCATTTCGATCTTGAAGACCAAACGCTCGCCTCCGTCTCATGATGTTCTCCATCTGTCCTCTTCTCCCTCAGGGCTCAAAGCGAATCCTTCGTTCCAATGAAATCCTGTTGCCATCGAGCGGCCAGACGGAAACAGACCTGCAGCTCACCTTCTCCTTACAGGTGTGTGTGTGTGACGCACGACACCTCTCTAACAGCCTCACGTCCAGATGGCCTAAATCACACACTCTTCTTCTCCTCAGTATCCTCACTTCCTGAAGCGAGACGCCAACAAGCTTCAGATCATGTTGCAGAGGAGGAAGAGGTACAAGAACCGAACCATCCTGGGCTACAAGACCCTGGCGCTCGGCCTCATCAACATGGCGGAGGTGAGGCGCATCTCCCGAAATACACTATAGTGCACTCAGGGTTTGAAAGTCCTTAGTTGCACATGCGAGAGATTTACTCGCATTCGGGGTTTGTAACGTTGTCAAATCACAGCCAATTTTATTACGTTTACTCGTGTAAGAAATCTGCGCAGATTTAGCGCAAACACTCAGCTCGTGAGTCATAATGATATATTAAAGGCAGCGTTTTGCGCAGAATCTGCTCATTTCTGGCGTACTTGAACATAGATATCCATAATAAAGGCTAGATGTCTCGTCCGCGCTGCTGGCCAATGGAGGTCGACGTCCGCACCTGGCGGCCATCTTGCCACAGGCAGCTCGCTCACTCATAACATTGTGTTTTAATGGTGCGTGTACTTTTTAAATAACCATAACTTGCTAAATTTTTTACCGATTTTCAAATGGTTTGGTTTGTTATAAACGTCAGAGATGTAGTTATGACACTGCATGCATACTTATGAATTATAAGTGTATAAATAAATAATCATCCAGAATTATAGCCACGTTAATAATCTAGCCTTTATTATGGATATCTATGTACTTGAACATGACCGCCTCTACGCAACAGACGCGTAGTCACAAACGCATGTTCACTATTGAAGCAATAGCGAAGATTAATAAGCATTCGGTTAACAGAAAGGATGTTATTTTCCAACATCCTACTTATTATTTTTTTGCTGTTCTTCGTACTGTATTGATCTGTCCACCTAAAATAAGTTTTTGGTGAAAAGGTTGAGGATGAAAGAGGAAGGGAGGAGATGCTGGATGACAGGATTTTGTTTGAATAAGAAATGAATGTATGAAATCAAAATTTATAATATATCTTTTTTTTTTTGGCTAGTAGAAGTACACTCTCGTTTCCACCAAAAAAGAACTGGTTCGGAACTGGTGCGGGTTCAACTTGCGAACCTTCTCTGAACCTGTTTGTTTTTCCACTGACTAGAGAGCCCAGCGAACAACGTCGTTACGTCACTGTGTACGTCGCCATACGTCTTAGCTTTCCCATTCCCGTCGTGTTGTTGGTCACAATAACCCCGCCTCCAGCCCCCGGCGTAAGCATGACGTGGTAAAAGAACGGTTCTAGTCCAGCAAAGAGTTTGTGTCGCTTTGGAACCAATTTTCCTGGCCGAGAACCGGTTCTTTGGCTGTCGAAACACACAGAACTGGTTCGCGAGTAGGCACCGGTCCGGCTCCGAACCGGCTCTCAAAATGCTTTGGTGGAAAAGGGGTGTATATATAGGGACGAGTGGTGTGTGTGCTAACAGATGTGGTGTGTGTGGTCAGGTGATGCAGCACCCCACGGAGGGCGCTCAGGTTCTGGGTCTGCACAGTCAGCAGAAGGAGGTGTCCGTCCCGGTGGCCGAGATCAGGGTTTACTCTCTGTCCAGTCAGCCCATCGACCACGAGGGTCCCAAAGCCAAGATGAACGGTGAGAGACCAGTGCACGGGGGTGGTGTAGCGATTGACCAATCACAGGGCTCCTACACGGTGCTTAAAGTGCTTGAAGTCCTGGAAAAACTCTTGAAAACAGACACATTTATGAAGAGGTGCAACCCCATTTACAGAAAAGTTGGGACAAAGTTTTTTTATTTTTATTTTTATGTAATAAAATCAAGAATCTGCGATTTGTTCATTCTCTTGAACCTTTATTTAACTTACAAATGTACAAGGAAAATATTCGTACATGCTTGAAGTACTTTGACTTTTTGAAATTTAAGTCCTGTAAAAACCCTTGAAAACATATTTATGAAGAGGTAGGCTACTTGAAAAGCGCTTTACTCTTTGAAATACAATATATATATATGATATTAAAGTTGAATTTTTTCGCAAAAACAAATACAATGTTTTCACGCAAAGTTAATGCTGCAGCCCGTCTGATAAACCCCAGCAGACCGTTTCTGCATATGAAGAAGGCTACGCCAAAACTATAATATAAAATATTATTTATTAAACAATAATAGCCATTATAAACTTTGTATTTCATATATATTATTAAATATGTTGTATTGTAAGTTGTCATTTTGGATACCTTGTATCTGTAATTTGAGTAAAAAAAAATCCTTATAAAATAAAGATATTGTTTGATTAATGCGATCTCTGATTGTAGTCCTTGAAAACCAAAAAAGTAGCAGGAGTGCTTGAAAAGTCATTAATAGTCCTGGAATTTAATTTTACATTATCTGTATGAAATCACTAAAACGAGAGAATGATTCTGATTTTATTACATTTATTGTAAGTTTGCGATCGATTGTAATAAATACATTACCGACGGTAAAAACAAATGAATGAGAAACTCAGTTAACAACATACTGCCGATATAAATTCAAAATGTGGAGTTTTTATATTTTTAACATATGATACAGTTGACGAGTAGAACTGTATGATACAGTTAAGCAACCTCCCACAACGAGTGCTGTTTCCTTGAATACCATTAGGAAAACAGTTCAAATTAAGTCACTTACATTTTAGATGCAATATTGACGGTTTTTGTTCTGTTTCAGCAGCGAAAATATTCAAAACAGAGATCACCGCAGAACCATAATCTCACAGCAACACTCAAACGTGCTTTCATTACTGAATGATTCAGCGTTTTGAACGAATCGGTTGAGTCAAAGATTCAATCCGCCATTCATAAACATCTGTCTTATTCTTGAATGAATCAGTCGTTTGAACGAATCGTTTGAATGAATGAATCAATGACTCGCTCATTGAGACGGTCGCCTGGCGACACCTAACGGCGGTTTAGTGTTATGTTTAAAACAATCTCATAAAATTATTCAATTTTTCCCTACCTAGGGTAACAGCCCTATAGTGTCTTACTACTTTAAATAATTGAATTTGTTAATCAAATTTAAGAATTTAAAATGAAAGATGAAGCATACATTTAATAAGATTAGGGGGACGGGGTGCCCTTTAAAGGTTGCAGATGTTACAATATGCAGATTGAAATATCCTATATCATTGAACACCAATGAGAATATTGCTTCAGAATAAATTATATTTACAACACACACACACACGAAATTTCTGGAGAAGCTACTTTTGTACTCGGACAAGTGAATAACAGATTTACTTGCACATGAAAAGGCAAAATGTCGAACCCTGGACTGTACATCTCATTTCCAGTGTTCCTCTCTCTCTCTCTCTCTCTCTCTCTCTCTCTCTCTCTCTCTCTCTCTCTCTCTCTCTCTCTCTCTCTCTCTCTCTCTCTCTCTCTCTCTCTCTCTCTCTCTCTCTCTCTCCTCTCTCTCTCTCTCTCTCTCTCTCTCTCTCTCTCTCTCTCTCTCTCTCTTCTCTCTCTCTCTCTCTCTCTCTCTCTCTCTCTCTCTCTCTCTCACACACACCTCTCTATTGTTTCCTTGCGCTCAGATCGTTCTCCTGATATTGATAACTACTCTGAGGAAGAGGAGGAGAGCTACTCGTCTGAGCAGGAGGGCAGCGACGACCCCGTGCATCACGTAGGTCATCTCTGTGTGTGTGTGTGTGTGTGTGTGTGTGTGTGTGTGTGTGTGTTAGATCAAGTAACACATTTTTAATTCATTCATTAATTTTGGAATACATGTTTTTAAGTTGAATGTATTTTTTGATAAACATAAAATAAACATAAATTAATTAAAAATAAATATTAGAAATAATCTAGAAGATTTTAAAAGATGGTTTAATACATAAAATATATATTTTTTAAATTAATTGTTTTAAATATATGTCTTTTATATTTTAATACATTCATACATTTTTAATAAATTATTTTTTTTAAAAATGAATATTTTTAATAAGATAACTGTAATAAAGTATTTTTA